GCTACTTCTGACACCGCGCACTCTGTGTAAAATGACTGCTTCCCCTTGATACAAACAGACTGGCCACAAAGTGATCAAATATGTGAAGAAAAAAAAATATAGTATGTTTCCTTATCGAAGCTTTAGGAAATTGGTATTTAAATTGTGCTCTGCCTGCTAGCATAAGCTATGAGCCTTCAGACTGTCAAATTGAGATCCAAGAGGAAAGGCTTTTTCCATACCATACAACGATACTTCCTTGGAGGAAAAAAAAATTAAAAACAAAAAAGGAAAAGAAAAAGGGAAATCTCCACATAGTTTTGAACTGGGCAAGCCACCAGCAATGCAGCAGAAGGTGGTGAAGAGGAATGTCACAAGGACCATGGCAATGTGTTGCCAAAACATCCCCCAGAAGGAGATGAAACAACAGGGACACTCTCAGTATCCAAATAAGGTGATAGGGCATATGGTCTGGGCATTTGTCCTGTGGCTATGCCACATGTATAAGAAATTTCAGCTGAGCAGGCAGCACTGGAACACAACACACACGTCCTGTCACACTGAGATCTGAACACAAACAGCTCACCCTCAAAGGCAGGAAGATAAGGGAGCAAATCCCCACTGCAGTCTTCAAGTAAGCTAGTGGAAGAAAATAAAATCACACCAAAAACCTCAGGATTGTCAGGGAAAAGTCAGGGGAAATTCCTCCTGTGACCAAAACTTCAAAAAAGAAACAGATGGGGGAAAGGGGACCTTGAAAGCAGGACTAGAAGCTCTGCAGACAGACTTTGAATATACTGAGAAACACAGTGCTCCACAGGAGCTGCACAAAACAGATCTCTGAGATACCTTATCTGTATGCACATTTTGCTGGTGCCAGAGATCCCAGCACTGTCAATAAAGGGGGAGGTGTGGAGGTGGGGGGAAGAGCTCTGGCAAGCCTGGTTCACACAGAATACCCTGTGTAACGGGTTGATGTGCCTCATCTGTGCAAGATCTGTGTTGGAAACAGCCCCCTGAAATACAGCTTGGGTTCAGAGAGAACCAGGTTTCATAATAAGGCAGCTTTCAGTGAGGGGTACAAATGTTAGTCTGTATGTCACTCATGTCAGTGTTTATGCAGTGAGAATTTATTGAGATTAGGAAATCAAGCCATTTTTTTCTGAGGCATCTGTCTTATGAACTACTTCCTATCAAAAAATAAAGGATTTTCCCCCTCAATTTCATCACAGCAAGTGTTTTGCAACACAGACAGTGTTCAATTTATTAGCACCCAGTGCTAATATGACCCTCATAAGATCTGCTTGGATCCAAACCTAGATCAGTAGACTTACTTGGGATATAAAAGGTACTTTGTAATCTTTTACAGATATAAAAGGTACTTTTGTAACCCAGAAATGGTGTTCTTAGCTGACAAAGGTATCTCAAACAAAAGGTATCTCAAACACTCTTTTTACAGTCATAGCAGGAGTATTGGAATATATTTTGAATTTAGATAACCCATTCCTGTCCCTCATCCCTTCTAAGAGATTGTTAATAGACAGCCAAAATAAAATTCATTAAAGATTGCTCGAAACAGATATTTTTTTTTTGTAAACTACCAAATAATTTTGAATAGTAAGGAAAAAAAAAAAAAAAGGCCTTCTGCTGCCATGAAGAAGCCATGACACAAGGTAAGTAAAAGAACCAGGAATCCAGATGGCATGTTTTACCTCCTGGAGTTGTGATGCAGCATATGGATACTGCTGGCCCAAGGTCTCTGAACACATCAAAGTGGGTTGAACATATGGACACATACTTACAGTACAGCTCTGTGAGACCTAAGGTGCTGCCTACACATCAAAGGCAACAACTTAATGTTTCACAGGGTGTTGACAGTCTCTCTCAACACCCTCTGTTAACAATAAAATGTGTGACCCTTTACATTTTTTTAAACCCTTACAAATTTGACAAGCACTTAAAATTATTCTCAGTGAAATATCTATAAATTGAAGATAGTCACTTCACTAATGCAAAAGTAATTAATTTCAGAAAAACCTGTTTTAATATTTTAAACCTCAAGTCATCATTTTGAAGTAGTAGTCAGTCATTCTATTTCTATGGATCTGGTCAGTGACTATCTGACTAGCTCTTCTGAAAGCAAGAAGAATTTAAGAGGCATAAAGCCTAACAGAAACAGTTTCCATCAAATTGTTTCCTCCCTCCACATGTGTTATCAATATCCCAATATACTTAAAAATAAATGCAAGCAGCACTCACTTTTATGAACTTCTAACCACGACCATATACTATGCTACAATAAAAATTAGTTTGTGTACTATTAAGCCTAGTTTACAGGATTTTAAAATGTTAACATATTTTCCTTCAGTTTTGCTTTTAGAAAACCAGAACCCGATTAGACACCAACTGTCAAAGTTGATGAATGCCACAGGGAATGTGGAAGCTCATATGCAAGCAAGGATCAATTAATAATGAAAGTTTTTGCTGGAGGTATTGAAAACACAGTTTAGAAAGTTGTAGTAATTAAGATCACTTAGAGATAATTCAGCAGCATGCAATGCCACTGGTGCTCAAGAGGTGTGATTCCATGAATGTATATAATGTGATTGTTTTTTTAAATTTGACTTCCTTTTAATAACCTAAAGGATATTTTCAAATGCCTGTGTACATGATTCCTAACAAACTGAGATTAGTGAAATACCCATTCAGTACCAGTCACACATGAAAAACATAGCAGAAGTATAATTCACTTTTTTTGGCTGCTATAAAAGGAAGTCTCCCATTTTGCTGCCTTTGAAGGCGGCATGCTATCAGATACAGTAAATTGAACCCCAAAATAGCAGAGCCTTTGTTTTTTTAAAGTACAAAATTTAAAAGAGCAGAATTGCTAGGTAAGGAGGGTCATATTTGGATTAATTGCTAATTTACATTTTATATCACCTTTAAAAATATCACAACACCACACCAATCGTACATAAGAATATTTTAGATGTTCAGCCAATTCAATAAGTCAGTGTCTTTTTAGGAATTAAAAGGTTTTCAAGAAAACATAATAAACTGGAATGTTACATTTTATGCAATCGTTTTTCTAAATAACTTCTTGATAGAGGTATCCAAATTTACTCTGCTTCTGCATTCCCATGAACAAAGGCTGTGACAGCAGCAAACACCCCCAGAACGTGTATCTGCACAGGAGGAGTTTGGTTGCTAAAGCAACTTGCACACATCACAAACATGATGTGGTCTGGAAACGTCTGAATTAGCAAATATTTTAAATTAGAATTCAGATCTATCAAGTCAGCCTCTTTAAATGATTGTGTTATTAAAAAGGATTTAGCAGTCACTTGGAAAAACAGACAACTGTGCAATATGTGATGCATAATACTGGGTGCCAAGGCTACTGATGCTCCACCACACTAAACACAAGAACCTGTACATCCTCAGCCATGTTTCTGTATTTTTAAAATTATTTCATTTAAAACAGATCAGCAAACTTCTGTGATCTCAACAGTGCATAGGCAGCTTGTTAAGAGCTGTATCAGCATGTTTAGAAGGATTATCTGTCCATCCATTAATCTCAAAAGTTCTTTAATGTGGAAATGCTCAGCACTTCTTATTCACATACAATTGTGAAAAAATGCTTGGTTATCTTCATTAAAGATTACTATACAGAGATTCAAAACTATCTATTTAGATGAGAAAAGCAACAGAAATGACAAGTGAATAAAGACAATTTCCTCAAGATTTTTGCCTGCCAGGTATTTAGTTGTAGAACTCAAGGGCTGTATTGAGACCTGAGCTATTTCTATTTAGACAGCAATCAATATATACTCTTCTCTTTCCATTTTTCTTCATTAGAACTTTTGTTTGGAAGTGAACCTTGTCATTTTTTGCTACCTACATTATGCAATCACTTAGAGGCACAGAAGTACTGCCATTACCTAGAGAAATCAGCTGATAAACACCCATGAGGCAAATTACAGCTGGGAAAATTCAAATCCCCTAATTTACCAAAAGATTTCAAGAACAAAACCAAAACACCACCCCATGCCCCAAATCAGCAGTTGTTTATGTAAGAGAGGTTTTATGTCCTCCTGCCTTCTAAAAAATAGAAGAAAGAAAAGGAAATAATATCCCAAACCCCATCCAGCTTAAGAACCAACCAACCTACCATAAGGAGATTCCATACATACAAGACTTGAATGAGGTCACTTTGGGAGGTTCTGTGATATCATCTGAAATGGGAAATACACAGCTGCATCATAACAACTGCAGCAGAAATACTACTTAAATATTGCTCAGAAAGAAAAAATATGCTTGGCAGCCCAACCAAAAACTGGGATACTATCAAGCATTTTGGACCTGGGCTAAGTTGTAGCCTTCTGCAGGCTTTCTTCACAAGCCCTTGGGTTCTTTACACAACCTCCTACCTTGGTAGGGCTGCCACACCTCTCACAAGTCCTACACAAGAGGCTGCAGGCTAGAACATGCAGATGTTTTCTTACTACTGTCAACAGGAAAGTCAGCTGAGACCCTCCCTTTATCCGTTCCTTACCCTTTTTTACCTTAGTCTGCACACCTGAAGTTTAGTTTTGCTACTCTGAAAAGAACTACATGTTTATAGCACAAAGGCTTCAGTTTGTAACAACTAAGTATCTAGGAAATAAACCAGATAGATGGATATAAAAATAAATCAATCTATCTATCTTCACATTGTCAATCTGCAGGTTCAAAAGAAGTTCTGCAGAGATCTTCTTTACTCTCAGATTAAACAGTGGAATCTTTGCCATGAAAGATCTAAATCAGTTATTTTATTTACAATTCTTTCTCCCCTCACCTCTAACCTGAGGAAAGTTTCAGGGCATAAGAATTCAAGAGCAGAAGTAGTCAGCGACTAAGAAGGAAGAATACCAAAAAGAACACTATTAAAACTCAGAGATGTACAATTTTCCAATCCAGAAACTGACAGAGCACATGCAGCAAGACAGACAAGACATTACAAACAAACAAACCCAGGAACATTTACAAGTACAATTAAAAATTTATTTCTCTCTTTCTGCATTGAAGTGAGTACATGTTTACACACAATGTGACAAAAAAAATCATCTGGCTACTAAGTACTAATTAAGATTGCAATTCTATTTTCCTTTATAGCCATCAAGAATATAAGCAGAGAAACAGAAGAAAGGGAAAAAAAAAATCACATAACTTTGCCTGGTATATCACCCAGTGCCTCTGGTTTTACTCATCCCCAAAACCTCGCTTACAGGACACTTTTGGCAAAAGTCCCTGAACATTCTGTCCCCCCCAAACATTCAGCACAGTTTAAAAAAAACAGGTTCAGTGGCACTTCAATATGATTTCAGTAACATTTGAGATACAGTGCACCCAACACTGCATGCAATTCACTTTGCTGTAAGGCTGACGTAGACATAAGGCAAACATCACCTTGGCTCTCAACTATTCCATGATTAGACACCCTTAGTACACATACCCCTGTTAAATGCAGAGATGCCTTGATTCCCTTCATTGCTTTTCCTTCTGATCAAGAAAGCAATTCAAAGAGATGGTGTGCTATACTAAACACAAACCTCAAGGCATCAAAATGTTAAAACAAACAACAATGAATAAAAATAAACTATATTCACATATTCAAAACTTATTTCCATCACTTAAATAATTTTATCTGCAATTACAAAATACATATACTTAAATATCTTTTTAAGAAATAATCATCTAAAATATCACAGATGATGATTTGCTTTTCATAATCTAACTGCCCTACCTCTGGCATAAAGATAAACCTGGACAGTGTTACTACCTAGAATGATTTCCTATTATAATAAATTTTCTTAAATATACAATAACTTCTCTTTAACTATTCTGACAGATAGTGCAAATAAAGACATTCTTTGGATCACAATTTTAAAATATTACCACCAACGCTATCCTCAATTTAATATTGTTTTAGTAAATAAGTAAGAAAATATTTTAAGTGTACACATCTTCTAACATCTGTTTACTAACACATTTTCCTCAGTTACCTTGGCTTAATGCAGACCACAAAAAATGAATAAACTACAATATTGCTCACCTATCCAAAAGATATGTTATAGTCATAATTAAATAAATATATTTCAAAATCTACCTATAAGTTTCCCATTGCTTTTCACGTTATTATCCAATGGCCTACTACATCAAATCATATCAAAATATCTTTAGAGACAACAAAGATCACTTCAGAAGCACCGCTCAAAGGCAATGAAATAATGCTTTGAGAATCTAAGCACGTTAGGCCTACACAGATCGAAGCATGTTGTAGAATACAATAGTTTATGCTTGCTTTAGAGTCAACTACTGCTTTGCCCTAGCCAGAGACAAAAAGCTTATCTTAAATATTCTCCATCAATGGTGCAGCAACACAGAGCAGCCTGTTTGCTATCTGATGTTGCTTGCTGGCTTTGCGCGTTTGTTTGCAGTCACTGGCACCTGGTGGTTAGTTCCATTAGTGGTGTTTGTTGCTGAGCCATTCACAACGATGTAATCAACCTTGTTTTCCAGTTTCACCAGGCGTTGTAAGATGTCATCCAGAAGAACAGCAATTGTTCTCTTAAGATCAGCTGAAGATAATGGAAAAAACAAATTACAGCCTGTTATTTACTCTGTGTGGAAAAGAACTGCCATTTCAACACATTCGCATCTTAAGACTTGCTATTCTCCCTAGCATACTTTTTGGAAAGGATTGCAGATTGATTAAGAAGTACAGAATTAAACAGGTGCTTGAATTTTCTTTAATAACATTCCTTTGTTATTTTAGGGAAGGGAGATACCATTATAATGGGAACTGTGAAGGCAGCCAATTAAATATTAGAGTATAAGAGCAAAAACACTAATTGGAACATTAGAAGTGGCTATTCAAATGTATTATTTCAAATTTCATCCAGACAACAGCATTGGAATACTCAGCTATATCATCTTTTATCCTTGGAGGTAAGAGAATATATCTAAATACCTTCCACCATAAAAAAGGTAGCTAATAGCTTTCCCATAAATGACAGATTTAGCCCACAGAAAAGCTGTCATTAAAAGCTATCTTACTGCTTCTTACATAAGCTATAAAGCAAGGGTTAAAAAAATCTATTTACATCTTTATTGACTGAAAAATAAGAGAAAAGATGGTAAAAAAATTCTCATGATCTGGAACAAAAAAAAACCAGTAACATCTTTCAATAAAAAACTATTTATGCTGTTGCCAATCACCATCTTCTTTCAGCTTTGAAAAACACTAACAAACTTACCAGGTTTTACAAGCTGTTAAGATTCCCCTTACACATGAAGAAATCTACAAACTCGGTCTCTACCCGCTGCCCTCTAATCAGTTAACTAAGCAGGAAGATTGGGGAGAAAGATCACAGGCATCAAAATGAAAAAACAGGAGTAAACCAGATAAAATTAAAAATTAGTAGTAAATTAAACTTCAAAAAAAAATAAGTACCTCCCTCTAGTTCTTGTTTAGTAATATGAACTTTGAAGAAAAAATTTGCTAAACAATTCAAGCCAGAGCAGGGTCTGGGTCATGTACAGAGGGTGGGTCGTGTACTCAACAATCTGATGGAGGGAATTGCCAAGTTTTAATTCTGATGATCAGCAGGTAGATCAAGAGATGACTTAAGTTTATATCAAACTCCAGAAAAAAAAACACAGAAGACAAGTCTCACTTGGAAATACGCCCTAAATGACAGAAAAACCTAATTATGCAGTAAAGGAAGTCCTTGATGACAAAAAAAAAGTGGGAGGAGAAAACAGCAAAGAAAAAGAGAAGGCAGTCTCTTACTGTGATAAAAATTAATTTTAAGAATGAAAGGATTAATGGTTTAAACACTTTTTAGCCTCCTATTTCTCTTGGGTTGTTCCTGCACTTCTTGTCATCACAGACTTGCTTCCTTCTTCCTTAGCAGCAGCAAAAAGACTTCAGACACATTTTTGCTGCTTGCACTCTTATCAAAGGCCTGCAAAGGGCATCCTACAACAGGCAGAGAGAGCCATTTAAGTAAATCTTAAGGGAATCAAAGTTGATTACATATTTTGAAATACTATTTTTAAAAATAAACAATTTAGTTATCTTTTCAATATTTCATAAGATAGTAAATACTGGCAACCTATTTATCAAGTTAGGTACAAATTCACAAGACAGGCAAATCAGGGATATGATGCATCAAGTATTATAGCTCACAAGACAAGGGACATTGTTTTAGAAGGAGCCATAATAGAAAAGGAGAGATTTTGCCAAATTCATAATTGCCTTGCAGTCTCCAGACTGCAAACTCAACTAGTATCTTCCTTTTTCATTGCTTTTTCAGGGAGAAGAAAATTCCATAAATAAAAGCAGGAAGTCAGCAATAAGGTATGACAAGAATCTGGAATGTCAAAGTGACTTAATATAAAACTTCGTCCCTGTATCAAGCACATGCTTATTCCTCAATAGCTGAGGATTCAGAAAAAGACAAACGTGCTGTTAATTCTGTAAGTAACTGTATTCATGTACCTGAAGAGATCTAAAAAAATCCTGGAAATCAAAAATTTCATGTATGAAGCTTGATTTTGCAACTCATCTTAATCTTCAACTTCACTGCATAAACTAAAATCAAATCAGTTAATACAGAGAAGTTTTTTTTCTCCTGAAGAGCATATACTAATTAAAAAGAAAAAAAAGAAAACTTAAAACTTTACAGTTTACAGAAAAAGAATATATTCATGTAACCAGTATGGCTTTTATCCTCTTACCATATCCTGACATAGAGGCTCCACCACCACCATTCATCAGGTTTTTATTTTCTTCTGCCAGTGCTTTGACATATCTTTTACTGAGATCTAATATCTGTCCACGCAACTCAGCACTGCTTTGGCGTCTTGGATACTGAAAAGTGTAGCGTAGCAACATCAAACCCCAAATGATTCCGAAGACTAGTAAAAACATACTCAGCTTCTGGGACATATTTTTCCTTGAAAATGTTAGAAACATTTCTGATGAAGGCCACAGGCGCGTCCTAATTTTGAGAAAAGTAACTGAATTTGGCTTTGTCTAATTATATTACATATTAAACAAAAATAATATTTCTATGAAGTGAAAGATCTTCTGGCTGGATCATCTTGAATATATCTTCTCATGTTTTAGCTGGTCTTGATTCCTGAAATTTGTGAAGAACCACTTGGTTATTCAGAATTGCTACTGTTGTTGAGATCAAGAACAAATATCAGTTTCAAAATACGGTATTATTGCATCATCTAGCAAACAAGGTTTTTTATCTGCTTACAGGTTCAGGCTCAGTTATATTTCCTTCACACCTGTTATTTACAGGGTTTCCTCTTCCTATTTTTACCAATTTTTATCCTTCAAAAATCAAAACTACTGTGCTTCCAAAAAGCACCACAAGTATTTTAAATATTGGAATTTAAACTGACATTAAACTCAAATGCATTTGAAAGAAGATGCAGTATCTAGAAGAAACCTGTATAACATTTCTGTACAACATTGTGACGAGTTATACACATACATCTAGATACAAGATCTTGTGAAATGATTCACTTGATTCTTACTCTTCACTTTCAAGTACAGCACAAGTGTGAACAGAAAACACATGGAATGATGTTTCTTGGTTGGTTAGCTAGTTCAAAGCTTCCTCTCCTGGCTCTTTATACCATTAAGGTTTTTCATTTGTTGTGTTGTCTTATTAATGAATAAAGAGATAAAACCAAAAACAAACTGGCACATTGCACTTCAGCATTTTACTTTGACTTAAAAAATGTCTTACCATAGTACCCAATTCTGATCCTTCAACAGATGAAGGCCTCAGGAGGAAAGCAAATGGTAGAAAAGCTTCATCAGTTAAATAACAAATGCTCAGACAGTTTGAAGCAGTTTGAGCCACACATCTTCAGGGATATCTGTAAAGGGAAAAAAAAAGATTTCAACAAAAAGTGAAGATATCTTCATTTACTTACGGAGTAGTTGCAGTCAAAGGATTCAAGCTAGATGTTTTTAAAACAGAACTACATTTTCAAACCTAACTTCAAGCAATTGTTAGGGAAGAATATAGAATTACTCTCTATTTTATTATGAATGCATGCACTTGAATCCCCAGTAACTGACTTAAAAATACTTTTAAAAGAAAGCTTGGTAAGAATCTCACTGAGCATCTCCTTCTTGTGTTATAAGGCAGTAACAACAGATGCTCCAGATTCATTGCATATGTACATGCACATATGTTTACACGGGCATCATCCTCTTACTGATTTTTACCCCTCAAACAGATCCCACATTTTTAGACCCTTTCCGTGTGCATACCTCATATTTCTCATCTTTCATCCATCTCTGACACTACTCCAATTATTCAGCACTTTCTTAAAAGAGGATTTCTATTATTTAACATTGTCCAAATAAAGCTACCAATTTTACACAATAGTTGCGTTTTTCCTCACTATTCGCAGCTCTTCCCCACGAACTACCTGACACAAGCACTTTCTGGACTGAAATTACACATGTAATAGAATTCCTCACCAGACTTCCTGTAGTGGCACTTACACCTCGGTTTGTATCAGAATATTGAGACCAAGTTTCTCATGCTGCTGAGCTCTCATCTAACCCTAACTCTGCCTCCATGGCACTTGTCATGCCCTGCACTGACCAGTTCCATCGGCCCTGTGCCAACACAAGTGGCACTGCCTCTCCCTACCCTTCACATAATCCTCTCAACAGGCCAGCCAGCGTGCCTGATTCAAGTGGCAAATTTTTCAAGTGCTCTAAAATCAACATGCATATCTGAATTATTCTGAAAATGATTAACCCAAGGCAGGGATGACATCAGGTTACTTGCTGTAAAGTAACAACCAGTTGTGTGTGAAAAGCCATACGGCAGCCACTGCCAATACATAAACTGACTGCTGGGTGCACCAGTGCAAATGGCAATCCCAAGCCACTGAATGAGGAACAGCTCACCCTCCACCCTGGGGTGTGACTGTGCACAAGGACAGACAGCCAACACACAGTAATTTGAACTCACTGTGTGGTATTTTCAGGGTCCCCCGTTGTGAGGAGGAAAGATGAATCTGACTCCGTGTTCTTAGAAGGCTTATTTACTATATTATACACTAGAATACTACTATATTATACATTTAGAAGGCTTATTTACTATATTATACACTAAAACTATACTAAAGAATAAAGAAAGGATACATACAGAAGGCTTAACAAGATACTAACTGAGAATTCTTGACTGCTTCCAGAATCCCAACACAGCCAGACAGTGATTGGTCATTAAGTTAAAACAATTCACATGTTGGATAAACAATCTCCAACCACATTCCAAAGCAGCTAAACAGGGAGAAGCAAATGAGATAATATTCTTTTCCTTTTTCTCTGAGGCTTATCAGAGAGAAGAAATCCTGGCAAAGGGACTTTTCAGAAAATATGACAATGACACCACTGTAAATGCAGTGGGACATACTTTCTTCAAGGAATGTGCTTAATCCCCCTAAAACTGGTTTTAAGATACTAATTTGTCTTAAGTACATAAAATAAGTGGGAAAACAAAAATTTACATTCCATAGCATCAATATCTGGAATTGTGTGGCTTAGGATTTCCTGAAACAGATCTTCCCTAACATACACTAACCAAAATTTCTTTTCCCTAGCTCTTTGCCAAATCCACAGCTCTGCACTCAGACTTTAAGGGATAAACTCCACCCACATCATTATGTATCTATACAATCTCTGAACAGTATCAAAAATGATGGAAAACATTATGAGGTCCAGGAGAAGAGTATTCATGTGATGGCTCAGAAGACCAAACAGTATCTCTCAAGAAGACACCATGAGTTCCAAACCCCATTCACAACAGTCTCTACTTCTATTAAAAAAAAAACCCAAAAAAACCCAAAAACACTGAAAAGAACAGATAGCTCTTGCAAAACTTAAATTGAGTTCACCTCTCCACAGATCTCCAGTCATATCTCATCCTGAAGCATTTAGACAGTATCACTACAGTCCTTTGGAGTAGAAATAACTCTGCCATCACACTGTAAATAAGACCACAAGCCAGGATAAGAGGTCTAGCCAAGAGGAACAGATTGAATAAACTCCTGCCAAGCAGCAGCAGGAATTGCAGACTGGGCCATCGCCATGCATATCTGATTCACAGTGCACACGCTGACTACTGAAACTAATGGAAATTAAGGACTTTACCTGCTGGGAAATTGCATAACACCCATATACTGACACAAGGCAAAGGAACTCAGAGCAAGGTTTACCAAAATGAAGGGAACTATTTGTACTTGCCACTTTTCCTACACATTTTTTAAAGGCCATTCCCTCTTCATGAATTCCTGTGTAATCTCAGTTCTGGAGATCTGGTCTCCTCTTTCTCCCTGAAGTGCATGCACTTCTAGCAACTTGTAAGACACTCCCTGCAACACTCTTGGGGTTAAAAAAAAAAATTAAAAAAGGAAGCTTATGCCCAAATTATTTGGAAGTACGAAAAACGAGTATCGGAGCACATATTAAGAAGGAATCAGCACATTAAGATGGATGGACTGGGATATTCTTGTACCTCTTGCTGCACTGAAGGGTCAGCACTTCTCTACAAAGAACATTATAGTTTCAACAAAACTTGGCCTCAGAATGGGCCTCTTGTCAGTAATTTAGAGGTAGTATCCCAAAAGATAACAGCACACATGAAAGAAAGTAAGTGTACTTTGTGATCTTTATTCTCCCTCATTTTCTCAAAGCACACAATATGCTGAGTTGGAAATCCTCCCTGAGCAGGAAAAGAAGCTGAGACTTCCTTTTTCACACTGATTTATCCTGGTTAGAAATGCTGGCATCCCACTCTTCCAACCACAGCTGAGGGACTTTTGTGGCAAAGGCAAAGCACTGCAGAGAGCAACAGGAAAAAGGATGGATCAGAGCCACACTTTGCTGCAATTCCTACCATCTCCAATCACAGAGACTGAGACAAAAGGCAGACTGTTAGTGAAGACAGAACAAGAAAGCCTTATAAATATGATTGCCTAGATGAAGCAGTACAACCAGAACAAAATTTGAAAATCTGAGGAGAGAAAGAAAAGAAACAAAATCCCAAAACAAAACAAACCCAAATCAAATCAAACCCCTGAGTTGAATGCAGGCAAAATGGCAATCCAAGAATCCACGAAGAAAATAATGTCTTCCAGATAATCCTTTCAATTAGCAGCCTAGAGTAACCAATTCAAGTGCCAGTTTCCTGAAGTACTTTAGATCAGCATGCATATTTTAATTATTCTGTAAGTTGCAAGCCCAAGCCAGGAGCAGCATTAGAACTTGGAGCTACAACCAATTCCTGAATGAGGATCTGACACTAGGTCTGCCTTTCACAGACACATAAACAGCTTGGCTTTCTTCACTGTTGATTGTCTAAGGAAAGTACTGCCAAAAACCTACCAATGTGGATACAACTTGTCCAGTGGTACCACAACACTGACATCCATCTGGCAACAAAACAATGAACTAAGACACTCACCCACTCCAACATAAAATCATGTCTCTATCCTGTATACCTGTATTTCAAAATCAGTCATATATAAATTATATTATTGACTGCACAAAACAAAAGGAGCAAAGATAAAAAAAAGCTACAGAAAATGCATTATATGTTCCATAATATAGCAAAGTTATACTTAACTAGCATCAGACTTCAGTTTGTCTACTGATCCTTCTCCATGGAAACTAGCCCATACTTACAAAACATCCTTCTTGAATTTTGTTGCAAAGTTCTCCTCTTTACTCATTCCCAGAAAAACCAAGAGATTATATTAACATACAGTGCAAAAACGAAATGGCCTACAATGCAAAGGAACGCCTTGTACGTGCTCTGAAACAACCTCAGGTTATCAGGAAAACAAGGCATACCTAAATCCTTAAAAGCTTATTTCAGTTTACAGCCCTGTCACTTCTGCCAGTCAACTGGCCCATGAAAGACTGGCACATATTCATCAGTATTTTTCTAGCCTGCCCAAGAGACTCCAGCCTCCTAAATGACTAGAAACAATTGCAGGGCAAATTTAAACCTATCCTGCAGAGATGATTTGTGTACCTTCTAGTTTTGAAAAATGTACAGATGATGGTAATTATTTGTAAGACAAAAAAGAAGAAGCAGGTCCATCAGGTATTTTTGGTAGTTATTAATAAGCAGTTTCCAGATACAAAGAACACAGAAAACCAAAGCCTAAGAGAAACCCACTTGATTCAAAGATCAAAAATACTTTTAAGAATAAAGCCAAGAAAAATGCAATTAAAAGAATATTACTAAGATGCAGTCCAATAAAGTCACCTCTTTGGTCATATATTTTGAAAGACAGAATTTCAAATACTAAGGCAGTAGTTCCTCAGTGACACTCTAGAGACCTAGTCTCTAATGCACTCATATATTTGGAAGGTAGGTCTGATAAGTGGGAATTTTACTCCATTTATTACTTACTACCACAATATTTATCAGTTCCTCACTTTCAAATTATGATAAACAACAACATGACACTGCACATTCAAGAGTGGGTCTGGTTTTGCAATCAGAGAAACTACATAAAAATAAGTGATTTACCAAGAGCTTAAAAAAAAAGCCATACACAGTCCTTGAGGCATACATTCAATAAAGAGCAAGTGGAAAAAATCTTACAATAGAGCAGACAGAAATCAGGACAGTAAAAATAAAAGCTGACATTAATAATAACTGTAAAATAATTATGCAGTACAAAGTTAGAATTTATTACCGTCTCAGTGGAAGTACAAAAAGTTTATGAAATTGTTAACAATTTTAAATTACCATAGTAGAATTACATCTGTACAAGAAATTACTATTAAATTCATGGCAACAAACATCCCTCAGTACAGAGAAGGTACTGTATCAGTAAACAAA